GTTACCATTTAAGTTTACAAAGTTACTATCAAAAAACCTAAGATGGGAGGGGGTAAAAAAAATGGTGAAAAATTGAGATCACGTCGCATAAAAACACTATATAAAGAAAACAATTTAATTTCTTATTAAACCCAGTGAGATATTGAGTGTTTTACGATAAGTCGATCATCCTGTATAAATAGACGATTACACTTTAACTGGCTTCAAAAATCTATTAATAGCGGATTTAGTTAAAAAAAGCCTACAAAAATAACCAACGAAATAAGCACTTGTTTTGTATTTATTTATTTAGTAAGTAGTAGCATGGTCTAAAAGAAATCTAAAGAATTTGAAATACTCCAATTAGTAATTAGTTACAATATAATTAGGTACAGGCAGCAGGGTTATAGTACTTCACCTTCATCCTATGCGTGACTGCCAATATAATATGATTAAAAGTCGCGCACGGCATTAATTTAACCTCTACGCTACATAAACCATAGCATTTTTAAACTTGCAGCTGGTCAACGTTTGAAATCATATTGGAGTGTTCATGCCGGGCACGTCGCATACTATTAGCGTCTGTACTGAATTGATAGAAAGAAGTAATAGACGCAGTCAGCTTTACAGTGTACGCGTGACTCGGAGTCGCATCGTCGCCGTTCTTAAAAAAACAAAAACAAAAAAAACAAATGATTGATTTGGTTTCACGCTATCTATTCATACGGTAGCTTCGACGGGTAAATATTGTAGGTGTCCGTAAAACGAATCCCGGCGTCGATTAGTATGCAAATTGAAGACAGTCGCCGCACTGTAGCGTTTTGGTAAACGCCGCTTCTGCGGTACGCCGTGCAGTTGGCGAGATTTACCCATTTTAATCGATCATAAATCGTGCGATCAATCATTATGTCGTTTGTTCAACTAATATAGTCATCATTAAATAATGTATTTGAAAAAAAAGAAGAAATACCCTCTCGGCTAGACGCATACGCTACGCGTTTAAACGTCCGTCTCGGGTTTCGACTAAATTGCTATAGGTAGGAGGTATGCGCATCAATAATAACATTGTATATTATTATGTAGTTATGCAAATAATGTCATAACAGCGAACAAAACGAAAATAATCACATTGAAACATGATACACAGCCGGTCAGTTAGCCTGTAATAATATAGCGTAGTTCATTTTCGACGGCAATAATAACTAACAATACCTATAAATTATATTCGTATTCGAAATTAAACTTTAATGATTATCACCACAAACCAAACAAGTCGAAATAATTAATTTCATTATTTTTTTTTCTTTCAAATTGAGATTAAATCAATAGATTTATTTAGAACTTCGATTGATCTGTACTGGGTAGATAAATTTAGAAAATAATGACCATCTAGACACATTGTGTTTTTAAACTTTTATAGTATTAGTTTAAAATAGGATCAGTCTATACATACAAAATAGAAGTCATATATGATTTTATTAGTTTAAGTGCGTATACCTAAAATGCGGTCGAGTATAAATCAGTAAAATAGTACCTGTTTCTGTTCTTAACTATGTCAAAATATATCCTTGTAAACTCACCCCGGAATAATTTTTGAAATTATACTATATACAATATTATATTATTCGTAGTGTATAATTAATATATAATTTATAAGAAAAAATAATTAAAAAATATTTTTTTAAATACTTTTAAGTTTAATGTAAATTTTGTAGCATAAAATTAAAAAACGTGTAGGAATGACATCAAATTGGTATTTGATTCATCTAAGGATATTTCAATTTATGAAAAGACTACATGTATAATGAAAAATAAAATTTATAATTATTTTATTTTATTTCATTAAATTTTCTAATAAATCTAAGTTTCATTCTTATCTGGATGGAATTATTTCGTCTTGTAGTTAGTATGAGCTGCTACTTAAATCCTATACTCTACAAAGTAAAACTGCACCAATAATGTGTAATTTTAGACTATAGTTGAATAGCGATAGTTTTTTGTATATGTCAAAATGAAAGCTTAAAAAAATTTGTATTTTGTTAGTCGTTCTTCTTAAAATTGTAGAAGAAAAGAAACATAATCCTTTAGATTACTAAAATTATTTTTTGCTGTCGCTAAAATATGTATAAAGTATACTTTTTAAATTGTGTTTTTGTGTTTTGTGCAGTCTAGTATTCTGGATAAATGGTATTCAACAAATATTTAAATATGGTCAGTGACCATTTTATTTCGAACACAAGCCGTGTATACTGTAGCTTTATATAATATGTAATATAAGTCCCCCAATATCATTTTTGCATCGAGACATCTAACAACTTAAACCATTTATTGATTTATCTTATATATTCGTTTATATTTCAACATTTTCAAATCATATTAGCTACAAATAGTAATAAACATTTAAACATAACACTTAATAAAAAATACAAATTTGAGTTGTTTTTACCATTAAATTCAAATAACAATCTATAAACGTCATAAAAATTAAAATTTAACAAACAAATATAATAATAAAATATAGATAACAGTATTACGAAGGTTTATAAAATTATAATATTGGTAACTTACACAAGAGACGTTGTGTTGTCTCGATAGACAAAACAAAATCGTATTTATATAATATAATAATAATCTAGAAAAATTAATATTTAAATTATAAATAAAATGAACCGCGTAAAATCATATATATTAATAATATTGAATTATTTAAACGTGATGCACTATTATATAATTAATAACTAAACGTATACGTATACTATCTAATTTATTTTACATTATGTAAACAATTATAGGTATATATTATTGTATTATTATTAATTTATATTTATACATAAATTATTTCTTTTACACTGTCTTTTTGACTAGGTTTGCAATATTTTTAAGCACTATCTATGTGTGTTGTCTTTTATTTTTGAACACAATATTGTTAACATGTTTAATGTTATATACCCATTTTAAACTACAACTTTATAATATAAGGTGATGTCACTACATTAAATACATTATATAGTACCCCATTGGGTATAGGTAAGCTTCGGTACAGTTATAACTACTTGCATCCTTCGTCGAGGGCGGTTTTTCCTTTTTTTATACGTTTTCAAATTAACGTATGTTTACAGAATTAGTATGTTTATACATTTAATATTCTATGTATACTGTAATATTAATAAGACCGTCTTCGGTAGCGTCGATGACAAATAAAAAATATATTAATTATTGTTTTTTTTTTAAATTTATATCACACATTCATTTATATTTATATATAATAATATGTATAATATGTTGGCGGGTGTGTGTATACATATACCTATAGATATTTTTTTTTTGTGATTGTAGAGCTCGAGTAAACCGGTTTGCGAGAAAACCGTATATTATCGAACTAGAAGTTAAACAAGTATATAGTGTATATAGGTACACTGTATATACATTACATATGTATATAAGTGAAAAACACCAACTATATACATAAATATATATATATATATATTATATATTAAGTGTAACGATATCATCGACCGGTTTTTTGTCCTGCACTGAATCTAGAGCATCCTGCTCGGGTCTTGACGCGTTTTAAATATTATGGTAATGCGAAATGCACTATCGGTAGATAGAGAAACCGTTTTCTAATACGCCGGCCAATTCATTTGCCCACTATGCGTACCAACTCGTACACCGTATATATAATAATATGCATAAGACCGGTGGAAACCTTCTCGGATGTACCCGCTGTCTACCGGTCACCGTCGATGCAATCCATACTCCCGTCAAAATTTACCTTAATCCCATCAACACGTCTCGTGCAAACCCAATAGACCGTACTGCGGTTAGAGATCAATATCGGAGGAATATGCATACACACATTTTAATATAAACATGTTTGTAAATTATAAGTGGTTTAAAAAAAAAACGGCTACAACAAATATACCTACAACGATCTGATATCATCTCATATATATATATATATATATATATGTATAATATATTTTATATTATTGTATAAGTCAAACATCCGTCGCAGACGGTTTGGTTATTGATTTGAAGCTGTAGAAGACTAGGGTGACGCGAACAAACTAATAATTTTAGTCATTCAATACGTTGAACAAGTTAATTGGAAAACAAACGTACCTATTGTCATGGTTTTCGCGACCGTTGTTTTATGTTATGTACAAAATTAACTAATTAAAAAGTAATAACATTAAGCTTAATCGTAATGTAAAGAAACCTATAGCTAAGATAATAACATTATTACGATACACTTGATAAATACAATATTTAGTAGCCGAGTGACGAGTCCGGTGCATTGAAAAGAGGCGCATGTGTATATTATAATATATTCAAACCGCAGCAAGGACGGGTACAAATGACATTTTATGAGTATTGCGGAACCAGTATTGATTTTCAAAACACGCTAATTAAATAGATAATGATTAGTCGAATAAATGAAAAAATTAACGAGACGTATATAGGTCGTCCAAATGATATTTATAAGAGAAACTCGAGTGAAAAATCGTGTTTTGGAGATGCACGTAATGCGCAATTTAATTATAAATGTATACTTGTAAAATAATAACATCGGGTTGACATCGTCGCTGATATTCGCGTTGACTATAATTATATTATACAAACGACCAAAGCTCACACGTTTGACGTCAGTTGGCCATCCGTTGGCCAAAGTCATAGTAACCGTGAACAATTTAACACAAGTTGAAAAAGCTCGTTTGCAATGTATATACAAGTATTAACTACAATAGATTATAATAGTAATAATAATTGAGAAAGTTTTATATCCGTCCCGAAAAAGTTAGTGAGCTTTCGGACGCGTTTCTTAAATAATAAAACATTATAATAATAACACATTATAAACGAGTATATAGAGCATACTGTTGGAGAGAGATCCGTAGCAATCCCAAGTGCATCGACCCAATAACGCGGCGGTGTCATTAGCCTCGGCGGTGGTACGGCCGACGGTGGCGGCAGTGGTGTCGTTCCGGCCGATCCGCACTGAAAGCGAAAACGCGACGTCAGGTGTTGTTGTTGGTCTCTTTCTCGGTGGCCGCGACCGTCGAGGCGGCCACATCCTTGTTGGGCGACTCGGACGACGCGCTGCCGGCCGACGACGACGAGAACCGTTCGTTTTCGGCGGACCCGCGGCGGTAAAGGCACAGCGGCCGGACGAGTTGCTGTTGCTGTTGCTGCGGCGGCGGCGGATAGGGCGCGTGCCGGTTGTGGGCGGCCAGGGCGGCGGCGGCCGCGGCGGTGGCGAACCGGCTGCCGTCCTCGCTGACTTTGCCCATGAACGACCGGATCTCCTCGAAGTAGGAATCGTCGCCGACGCCGGGCCTGGAGCGCCTGTGATCGGCGGCCGCCGCCAGTCGGTCGTCCATGATCGTCGGTCCGTCCGCCTCGTGCTTTTTAAGATGCCTGTCCAAGTTGGTCTGCTGACCGAAGCACCGTTCGCAAAGCGGACACTTGAAAGGTTTCTCTTTGTTGTGTATGTTCCGCACGTGTCTTTGCAAGTTGGACGATATGCTGAACGACCTCTCGCAATAGTTGCACTTGTACGGCTGCTCCCCTGTATGTGTGCGCAAATGCCTGGTTAAGTTGGCGCTCCGGGGAAATACTTTTTGACAGAACTTGCATGAATATCTGAACACAAAAAACAAAAGCGAACGGTACGTTCCATAAATGTGCATAAAACGCTAAGTATGTAAAAAATCAAAATTCATTAATTAATTCGGTACTCTCTGGGATCCCTTATATGTAGTATTATATTGTTTGTTTAGTATTATTAAATTTTAATCAATTTTCCAGAAAAATTCACGAAGCTCTCGCCTACCAACATTCACATATACCTCATTCGGTCTTATTTTGTTTGTTTGTCTGCGTAACATTCACACGTCTACAACTCTCCGACCGGATTAGGCGTGAAAATTCGCCGCGCCAGTATAGCCGTTTGGCACAATGCCAAACCGGTACTCTTGCAAAGAAGTGTCTCGCTTTTCAATTTTAATTTTCCACACGTTTGTTTGCGTGCGACCCGTCAGCGCGCTATAAGAACGTCTTTATGACGGCTCCGGGTGCGGTGTTCTCTTAAACGACACAGAGAATTATTATCGCGTCGAACAGTGTTAAAAACGATCACGTTTTATACGAGTTATGTGATAGAGAGTAAATTTCTATATATTATGCATAAATATATTATTTGTATTATAAATGCTGTACAACAAAATACCATGGATTTTTAAAGTTTGCCAGAAGTTAAAGAAAAATAAACTGTACATTTGTAGATACAATGTGGGGTTTGCCAGTTGCATCTGTGACGGCCAGATTTTCATACGTACCCACCAAGTAACATTAATTGTCCATCAAATTAATATTTTGAAAGGACGCCACATCTGCGTATAGGCAAATTTTGTCAAACTCTTAATTTTAAAATAAAACGTTAGTGTACGTGTAATAATACAGCAATGAGGAGACTTTAAAGGTAATTATTATTTTACTCTTATAGCGTCTGTTTCTAACGTTTTTTACTATTTTTCTTCATTATTATGGTTAGGTATTACCTATTTTATTTTGCTTGTACAGGTCAGTCTTAAAATGTTTACAAAACTTAAAAAACAATATTATACGACGTATATCGTTGTTTTTTTTTACTGAAAATAAATAAGTTTTTATGGAAGTATGGTAGAAAAAGTGAAACAAAAACAACCTACTAAAGTTATTAGAGCAACAACCCCAATAACATACGGTGTTTAATATTGTTTTGTATGTGTTAAAATTGTACGCTAATTAAACATTAAATAGAACAATAAATTTGAGAAATAGCTAGTTTTAGACAAAAATTAACAGTTTTGTGGTGCTGTCGTGATATCGATGATTAGAAAAACTAATATCCCGCCAATTCTATGTCGCGTACGACCTTATATTAAAACATCAATTGTTGATTATAAACATATGATATCGATATCTAAGTTGGATCAATTGATATATAATTATGCAGCTTACGGCCATTATGCAAAAAAGTCGATTTTGAAAAAATTATCGCTTACGCCCTTTTACCTTCTAACCATCGATATTACCTTTGTTGGACAACTAACAATCGGGATAAAAATAATTACTATTCAGTTAATACAACTTAAAAATTTGGTCGACATAGTTGCGACCAAAACTTCTGGTAATACAACAAAACTTTAATTTTTGTGCTCTGTTATGTAAAGTAAAGATTATCTTACCGGTCTTTTGGTTTGCCGGACGTTTCTTGGAACGTCTTTTGCGGAGATCTGGTCACGGGCGCTGGCGGCCTGACGACGTCGTAGGTGGGCGGTGGCACGTGGTGGTGTCCGTTGAGCAATGACGCGTTGATGAACGGATAGTGCGGCGGTCTGTGGTAACCGCCGCCGGCACCGCCGGCCTGATAACCGGCCAGCCCGGGTAACCGGGATTTGTCGCCCACGCGGTACATGGCTTCCAGCATCATAGGATGAAGCGGCTGCGGCGGGAACAACACCGGGTAGTTGACCATCCGGCGGGAGCACTCTTCGTCCATTATCCGTCTGTGATCGTCGTCCTTGTCTGACGAACACGGGCTGTGCGCAGTCTGCGAGGCTGGATGCGGTTGGGGCGGTCCCGGGCTGTCTACCTGGATGTCTTCGGGCGACGGCGTCCTGATGATCAGGTTCTGGTTCTCGTCTTCCATCTCGTCGCGGTGGGACTTCTTGTGGTCCACTCGCAGGTCCAGTGGCTGGTCGTTGTTGTTCTCGTACGGCTTGAACGCGGCCGGCGACATGCGGTGCAGCGGCGATGGCGTACGTCGGCCACTGCTGCCGTTGTTGTTGTTGTTGTTGTTGTTGCTGTTGCCGCCGGTGTTGCTGCTGCGGGACAAGTCGAACGGCATGTTGTCCGGATGGTCGGCCGGCCGGCCGGTCGGGTAGACGGACGCCTGTTTGGGCGACGTGCACGGCAAAGGAGGCATCACCATTTTACGAGGGCTCGAGTGCTTCTCGCGCATGCTGGCGTCACGCGGCTGAGTCGCTGGTCGTGGGTAGTAGGTGTACCACGCCGGTGACGTGTCCACCACGCTCATCACTTTGGCCACGCCGTCTGAAAAACGAAAACCACTGTTAAACGTATATATATATATATACAATTTGTCAGCCTCGTGAAAACAATTTTTATAGCTTTGGTAATGGCCGTTTATATTAGACATTTCGATGTTCTATTCGTTGGTACAGTACGCTGCGCCCCTTAAATATATTGTATCATACACCTAAGTAATGTTTTACTCGAGTTTATTTAAATATAGGTACCATCTAATTTAACGTCAAGTTTTTCTTGTGTTGTTACACTACTAGTACTGAAAAAGTCTATAAAACCGCGTTGTGTGTTTCTATCCTACAGACATAGGAGATTTCAACAACATTTTTACGTATCGATCAAATACAAAAAAAAAAAAAGTATCGACATATTATCTTATTATTTTGATATGATAAATTATCCTTATAAGTAAAACACGAATGCCTAGTAATAATAAGTAGTGATAATAAATAAAATACTTTACTACCATATTATTATCATTGGCTATCTAATATTATTGGACGCCTACGCTTTAAAATGGGTAGCGCTACATACGCGGCGGACGAACGGCAAAATAAATTAAAATTTATAAATTACAGTCGTCAATAATAATTAATAATTGTTGTTGTCAGTGGCCGTTTCGAAAATCGGAACAGGCCAATAAATTTCCCGAGTACGACGTGTCGCAATGCCGTCGTCTGATATAGTAATAACAATAATAATAATAATTGCAGTCGGCCTGCAAACGACAGTCAACAATTTTAACGAGGAGTGCAACAAAAATTTGGGCCATGTGCAGTGCACAAGTAAACCCGGTAGCACCGCAGAGAATTATTATATATTGTCGCATGTCGTGTTCGAAAGTGTATCGCGAGATATTATTAAATCCGCCAAGTTTGACGACACGGCTGCGGTAAAAAAAAAAAAGTATATACATATAAAAAAAAAAAAAAAAAGGAATAACTCGTTGCTCCGATTTTCTCCTCCGCCGCCACATATTATACACCGCACCGAAGAAACTTCCAATTATATAACGTGTATTTTTTATGTTACACTTTTTTTTTAGCGTCTGAATGCGGATTGCGACGATTTTTTCCCAGTTTGTATTATTATTATTTTTATTTTTTTTGTCGTTGTCGCTGCTGCGCTCATCTCCTCTCTCGTATTTGGACTTTTTTCGCTAACGAGCGCCCCGCGACCAAACCCGTTTATCACATTTCCAAATCTGTTTCGGGAAAGCGAAAAAAAAAAACCCAAACGGGCGTTTTGCGTAACCGACGCACGAGTTCTTCTTCTCCGTTATTATTTATATGTATATGTATTTATATGTTTGCGTACATTTTTTTCGTAAAAAGGCATTGAGTAGTCGACTTTGAGAGGTCATTATGCCGCTTTTTTTTTTCGACAAACTGGACCGCTCTCGTTATTTGCTCTTATCCGACGGCCGGCCTGACTCCTTAAACGGTCGACGCCGATTTCTATTCCGGCCGAAAAACCTCTTTGGATCCACCCGACTGCCATAAAAAAAAAAAAATACCGCTTGCGAAACCATATAATACACACTAATATTGTGTGTAAAAAAAAACGCATGATTAACCGACGAATATTAATTATTACCAAAACACACTGACAGGAGTGCGCCGTCTGAAAGCATATCGTATAGAGTAGCCGGCGGTTTTTTTTAAAAATGTTTTTCCAATCGCATAGCGCAATAAATCACCGCTAATAAGTCATCGCACAACGTAGAATGTATCCGCCCCCCACGAAACCGTACCTATCATAAGATTTAACGCGCGCTTTCAAACCCGTCGATTTAAAGTAAAGTCAATTTTCCTTTTTGAAAATCCAAATGATCTTTTTTTTTTTTGTCGAAAACAATAAACCCGAAAATAGTTGAACGCACTCTCGCGTTTACCGACGCCGTCCTTATGCCGGGACCATTATTATACAGTTTATACTTTATATCAATAAAATACAAATTACACAATAATATTATGTTACCTATACATGACTACCGAAAACCGCGAGAAACAACGACAATACAATGTGACATACATAATATAATAACATGTATGTATGTATCTATCATTTAATCTGCGAGCTCAACAAGTCATATTTTCTTTAAACGTTTAACATTGTTTTATCTATATATTACACGTATAAGTTTGCCAAACACATTATTCTACACACGTCATATAGAACATCGTTTGTTTTATTAATATTTTCAAAAATAGTCACGATCGAAAGGTGTCTGTGTCAAATTAGCATTTTAAGAGAACGAAAAAACACCCATTTATTATAGAGTAAAGTAAAGACAACCTTTGACAAAATCTTAGTTAAGAGCTTTCTATAATGAGGATACTTTAACGGTTTTACTACTCACAGTAAATTTACCAAATTTGCACAATACATAGAAGAAAGCTTTACCTGTGTCGCAGTGTTTTTATTATTATTTTTTTTTATGTAAATACTCACAAATTTTTACGAATGAATATTTTTGATTGTGTTTAAGTTATCAAAAAAAAAAATGTACATACATATATAAACGCTTCTTCTCTGTGTACTGTAAAAATATTTTAATCTTCCATCCGAAAATTCATTCCAGAAAAAACACGAGTTTTACCGCCAAAATATGGATAGTGTAGTGTCCTCTAAGAGATAGTCGATAATATAATATAGTCATTATCTATGTTCACACAACCAAAATGTGTGTTTAATCGTGTTTTAGTTTATAAAACCGCTTCAAGGTAATAAAATATTTTTTTTATTTGTGTATAAACCTGAATAGATTTATATATCTATGCTGTTTAATAGCTTATACAGGATAATCCATGGGACCTACTCAATTTCTCTGAAAAAATAATTACAATTTTGCAGTTTTTTTTTTAAACATTTATTTTATTCATGTTACCGTAAAATATATTATAGTAATAGGTACCAATTATGATACCGTTTTTAGTGTTACCCAGAACGCTATCAACTGTTGCCATTTTAATGATAACGTAAATATTTAATTAATCTTTTAAAATGAAAATAATTTGATGAAAATGTTGACTGGTCGATTACTGAGTCTTGAATAATTACTTTTGAGGTTATAAGAGTTTACAACTTAGGATAGGAGGTGTTCAATTACAGTTGAATAATGCTCGCAGATTAAAATAATACTTTTATAAAAAGTAATTATTCAAACGTTTTTATGTTTATTACAATAATTATCTTTTAGTTAATGTTCTTTCTAAAAAAAAATACGAGTTTGGCTTTTTACCAGTTTTTCGATATTTTTAACAGATATTATTAACTCCTACCAGAATTCGAATAAAATTAATAACACCTACAAAAACTACAAGAATCGTCGCGACTAAACACTATAGCGGTCTGTTGAGCATTTATTACAAAAAGAGAAAATCACTTTAAGCGCAACAAACGTTATTATTATTATTTTTCTAAAGAATTAATTTTATTATAATATATTTATGGTTATTTAATTTTTTTTTTTTAATCTAATAGTAAACTCACGATTCGTCGTCCGATCGCCTCCAGAGTGGTTCCTCGCCATGGCGCCTGACGTATCTGAAGTTTCCAGTGAAAATGTCACGCGGGGGAGTGTACAGCCAAGTACGGGTAAACGGATGAAAAGAAAAAAAAAACGCGAGTGCGCGACGGCCAACGACGACGATAATTATTTATATATTATTATTTATTATATTATACCCAAGTGTACCTACATACACGGACGGATATAATCAATTACAAGCGTTTCGGATCGACCACAAACGTCGTAAATCTTCTCGGCGTTTTTCACGTCGACCCGAGAGGTCGTGCACCACCGCAAGTGCTCTTCTTCGCTGTACTATACACACGTTTATGTATTATACATTATGTATGCTCGATTCTCGTTGCCGGTCTCACACTCGAATGCCACGCGCTCGCATCAATCATAATAGCGCAAAATAAAATCACAAGTCAGTTTCGTTGTAATCCATAGTGACGTACGCAAGACACCTGTGTGCGAGGGCGGTGGCGGTGGTGGTAAAAAAGCGCGTTTTCAATGCACTCGGAACACAAAAAAAAAATGAAAAAAAAATGCATACTTATAAAAACCGATTACGGGTCTGTAAATATGAGATTAACCGGCGGCACAGGTCTGTGTGTAATTGTTGCTCAACCTCGCAACAGCCACCGCCGCCGTTTCCAGTGTGTGTACAGAACAGGTGCTATATGGGGCATTGTTGGACATATTTTACCGGGCACGTGCTTTGCCTTGGTTATGATTGCGGCACACCACCACGTGCCTCCTCTTCTTCTCTACAATGGTACTTACTCTTCTCTCGGCCCGCGCGCTACAAGTACATTACCAACACTGTATCGTTGTAATTTAACAATAATGTCGCACTAATACGTATGTATTTAATATTATTAGGTTTTTGTTTCGCAAACACATTTTGCAATCGTCGCATCCACAACAACAACAAAAACGGTTTTATAATGATATATATATATATATATTATACATAATATATACCTAATATGATTTTATTCGAATAATAATTGGTTTGGTATTACTACTCGTTGTTGTACGTGCTATACCTAACTCTGCGGTGTATTAGATATAATATGCAATGTAATTATATATATATATATGTATACATTGGGAACTGGGACGGTTACGACTATTGCAACAAAATATAACAATGACTTTTTTTTATTATATCAGTTATTTACTGTCGAATAGAGTGTACAGCGGTGTGAACGGAAGACCAGGAGCAGAAGAAGGTTATTCGGATGAGAAAAACGTGCGGTTTGCGATACGTACTCATAGGCGCTCATAGAGCCTAGAGGAGGGCGGCAAACTCTGTTTTTACATTGATTTCAAGTACCGAAAATACCTTATCTTATGTGTGAGACGGAACTAACATTATGCCGTTAGCTGTGTAAAAGTTTGCATTTGCAAAGAGTTAATTTCGAGTTGTTCAAGATATGTTTACTTTTTCGGTCTTTGTAAAATACCGTGGCTTCCAAATTACGTT